TGCTGATTTCTGCCCTGAGTCAGACTGAAGTATATACCCGATAGGCCTGCAGTCTTCTCAGCCGCCATATTGGCCTTCCCAAATGTTGCTGTCGTGTGTTGGTCGTGACCATCTTGAAGCCAGAGATATACAGCGCGGCGTGGTGACGTGTCGAGACTTGCTGCAGACTTTAAGGGTGCAGCGGAACGCAAAAGCAGCAGCCTACGCTCATCCAAGCGTACACACAAGCACCAAGTCGTAATTCCTAGATCGTCGATTCCAGGCGGCCATAGTCGAGCACTCCGAGCGCGACGCAACGCGAAGCGTCGTCAGCAAAATACGGGGAAAAACTGAGCCAGCAGAGGTGGAGAAGAATGGCTAGTCACCTTGGCAACGCTTTTCGCGCCGCCTGCGAACCCCGGGCGGTTCATTCCTTTGGAGTGTGTTTGGAAGCTAAGTGGTGTCACGCGGCACACTTCCCTCTGTGCTTGCTCCTCAACGGTCTATCCGTTCATCGCGCGCGCCTATTGAGCTCCGTTACTCCTTTTCGGGTAATTTAGCCTTAGAGTTAAGGGCTAAACGAGAGGTGGTACACGCACACTTTCTTACGGCTTGCGCTTCGTGTCTAGTTTCCACCTTTAACCACCTCGAGTTCATGGTTTATAATAGTTCACTGTATTCATGACACTGCAGTCCAACGCTCGCTAAGCCTTTCTATAACCAAGGAGGTTACGCCCAGTGAGTATAACGTAGCAGCCCTTTCTTGTGAGATAGTGCTCAATGTGTATGTCAATGGCTGCTAATCAGGAATGGGAGACAGGACAATCCGGCTTTTAGTTAACGCGCACGCTGCGATTTTTTATTGTTCAACAACGCACAGGAGAAATCTCCCCCCGGCACCACCTTGCAGGTGAAAATGTAAGACTGGTTACACACTATGGCTACGACGACTACTACGAGGGACGAACGGGTGCTGCTTCAAGGGGCTTCGTCCCTAAAACAGTGTTCTGCTTCAGCTGTGCTCACCGGCAGAGTTGCCAGAATCTTCAGAAGATGGTGCATGTTTGGAGAAAACACCTCTGGGCAATTGACAATCGCTTGCATTGCAGACATACTCAGCGTTTCTCGCTTTCATTTCGCAGCCCATACTTCTTACTCCCTTTGCGATACTGACGCTGAGATATTGTTCAAGTACACGTCAGCAAACTTCTCGGCTGTGGGAAGAGTGGCAGATTCGTGAATATTCTGTGGCAGAAGAAAAAAAACCCATCTTCAAAGTGTGCCGATGAGTTTTAAACCGCTCATTCAACTGTCTAATAGAAAGTCCAGAAAAGGTCAGCAATACTGAAAGACTGAAGTGCTCTTCAATGCTAGCCACTGGCACGTTACTTCGATGAAGCTGCATGCCTGTGACAAGCGGCACCCTAATCTTCTCCAGTTGTCAAGTGTGCGCTGAGAGCACAGTTGCCTTTCCGGGAAAAATTATCAAGCGTTATATATCGTACGGCTTTTCGGCGCCACCATCGAGTCTCATAGGAGGGTGCTGATCAACCCAGGACATGAACTACCCAGGAATAAATGTAGGCAGCGCAATTCAAGGAGGTGACTTCGCATTGCTAGGAAGCAACGCGCTCAGCAAAGTTCGAGCAGTGACCCTGAATTCGAGAAACGAGAACTTTAGCGACGGTACATGCCGGCTGGTAACCTTCCGCCTTAAACTCTAGCGCTGGTTTCTCGCCTGGCGGAAAGATTCACGGGTATAGATTTCCTCCACCTCCCTTCAGGCGCCGGTAAGGTCGCGCTCGCCCAGTATCTTACTCTGCGGACGAGACGTCTCACGTTTGTGATCGCGCCCGTATGGAAGGCTGGCAGTTTCTGTTCACGTCGTGATGAAGTACCACAAACGTGAATAAACGCGAAGGAGTTGTTGGCAGCAGTGAAATTCTAGCGACTCGCATCAGAATTCTCGAAACAGACAACCAACAGGCGTGGACGGTGCAATTTAGATCGTGTTGCATGAGATGGCAGTTCACGTCGGAGTTCATGCAATTTGAGAAACGGATTATGATGCATTGTGCTCTGAACAACTCCGGAGTTCATTCCTTCATTACAGGTGAACAGATCACTGAAGATTTTGTGTGGTTCCAGGCTGCCCCTGTTTATACTGGTGTAAGTGCTGGAAACGTGAATGCACGTATGCTGCATGGTGAAATATTCCGTATAGTTTTGTGTATTTTGACGTAAAGGAAAATGTCGGCTGCACACTTGCAAACAACGAAAAACATCTTGCTGCAACACTATAGTTTCCGGCAACTGAGTGACGAAATGTACAAAAAAGAGAACATCACGCGTTTTAATGCGCGTATTAAAGTTTTTTAGCGCATATATGCAGCGAACAAGCTAGTTTTATGTAAGTAGGTATAATCGAGTCGCACTTATTATTATTATTACATTTTTGATTAAGAACAAGTGAACATCTCTCATTAATTATTACCTTGCCCAAGCAGATTGCATAATAAAACCTATTGCAGTGCTTCATTTTCATCCAAAGTCACAGGGCAACTGAAGGTCTGCCCCAAAAATAGTGTGTGAAAAATGGTTTTGCAAACGTGCAGCATATCTTACAAAAAAGAGTACTTGTTGTGCATCTAAAGCACACTTGGACTCAAGCAGTAAAACAAAAAAAAATCTTCAATAATTGCTACCACTGCGTCAGGGCTGCTTGACATATAGATAATAACATAAAAATAATTTTCATAGGCATGCAGTCAGACACATTGACAGTATGAAATTCGCTCAGCAACGTAAGAAAATCCAAAATATAATTATAAATGCACAAAAACGTGTTAGGTGTACCTCTCATTCATTGATGTAAGCGGAACCGTCCTTGCCCTTTGAAACGCACTTCGCCACGACGAGGACTACATTCTCGAAAACAAGTTATGCGTTTTCGAATACTAGTCCACTCAACGGTGCGACGAGAGGCCGTTCCTCCAAACGGTCGCTGTGCCTATCGTTTACTGTATTTTACAGTACTTCTTACAGTACTGCCCCGCCACCGTGGTCCGTTGGCTAAGGTACTCGGCAGCTCACCCGCAGATCGCAGGATCAAATCCCGGCTGCGGCGGTTGCTTTTTTATTCAGGTGAAGATGGTGTAGGCCCGTGTACTCAAATTTGGGTGTGCTGCAAAGAACCTCAGCTGGTCCAAACTTCGGGAGACCTCCACTACGGCGTCTCTCATAATTATATGGTGGTTTTGGGACGTTAAACCCCACATATAAATCATTCTTCCAATACTTCTACTTACTCTCCTCACAACCATACGCATGGGGAGAGAGGGAAATCTCATGACGTGATATACATGTACAACATCTGCTTAAACTACCACCGATAGTGACGTCACAGAGAAAAGGTAATGCCTGTGCCTCCCTTCCCCCCTCCACCGGATCGGTGTGAACCACTCGCTTCCCCTAAAAAATTTCTGGCTTCACCCCTGGTACAGATATTGTTCTGTTTCCGAGGGCACTCATGTTTTCTTAAGCCAGTCTTTAGTATCTTTACGGGACAACAGATTCTAAACGAGCTATTTTTTATTCTTCACATCGCAATCAATAGTAAAGCATTCATTGCTTTGCACCGTCAGTTCAAGTATGAGTTTTAATCTGTTGTCTGTACAAAGTCCATGAAACACCAACTACAGCATATGAACTGCGCTCATGTGCTACTGTGTTAAAGCCTTCTCAGCCATGCTTCGTCAAGGCGTGCACGTGAATGATCCGCATTGTCGCGGGTGGGTTTAATTCACTGGGTGGCATTCGTCGACAATATGCTTAGGGGACAGCCGAGGAGCAGAACAAACTACCAGCACCAGATATCTTTAAGAAAAAGATCCCAAGACGAACAATACGTCCATGTTTTGGTGCCAGTTGATGACAAGGATTGTCCCAGTTCGAGTGCGCTCAATGCTTATTCCGTGTCTTTTTCATTTCTTTTAAATGTATTAAAGCGAGAGCGTTAGAAGCTCGTTTTTCAAACAAAACGGTGTTGCCATTGGTGTCGTGATTCGTGAGCGAAAAATATTGTTGTTTGTGACCAAAAAATGGAGAAGCTGCAAATAAACACGTAGTAAGAACGTTCAGTCCCACAGAAACGATAACCTAGCCGATCTGCATGACAAGCAGGGGTTCTACCGCAGAGCCACAATACTATTTTACACTTCTTTGAAAAACAAGACAAAATAGATACACTATATGAATTTCATGTAGTGAAAAGAGCCTCCTTAAGGCATGTAATATTGCGTGGGAGAAGCATGAAATACATAATAGAGGCATCAGTACATGATATTTGTGCAAATATTATGTGTTTAAAAGCGCAATAGTTTCAAAGGCAGTTAATCATTATCAGTCGCAAAAGCGTAAACAAAATGAGGAGCTTTATGGGCTCTCACGTTATCTTACGGAAGCGTAGTGGGCCCTTTCGTCAGTCGCCAGAGAAACAATTGTGTCGTAGTGGGGCCATCAAAAACTTACTTACAGAAGGCAGTCCGGAATAGAGTGAAACGGTCAGTCTTATGTGTATAGTTGTTTCTTTTTTATATGGATTTAATATGACCTGTGCCTAGAAAAAAAAAATACGCTACCACTTAAGAAGCTGATGCAGACTAGGCGTCAATACGCATCACATTCTACTTTTGATGATGCAGTTCAAGCGTCCTTCATATTTTTTCCAATGTAAAACACTTCTTTCATATGTTAAAATACTTGGGACATGAGATGTATTTGTAATTATTTCATTGAGAGTTCTTTTGGTGCGCGATAAGTGTCAATCTGCTCTACCTGATAAAATTCTATTAGGGCGACGAAATATCTCAATTAACTAGCAGTTGTCAATTAGCCAAGCGAGAAAATTGTTTGTGCGATTGCAGTGGTGGCTTCTTTTGTCAAGGCAAATACATGATCAATTTTAAGGATAATTTACAGGTATTGTTATCTCAAGCTTTCGTTAATGTCATTTTTTGCAGTTCCTGAAGCAAGGCAGTACGATTTGGACGCTCTACTCTAACATTACCGCTAACATGACTTGTCAAAATGATCGAGTGACACATAAGAATTGGAGACATGTTACACTGAATAGGACATTTTTAAATGAAAGCAAAAAGTAAGTCTAAACACCTTCATTCAGTACAGTAATGTCTATTCTGGTAATTAAAGAAATTAGAGCAGCATCAGAGGGCGGAAACTCCTTATACCTCCCATTTAATCACTCTCGGCAGCGGCAGTGCCTCTTTTACTACTGGGGTCACCGGGAATCCTACCAAAAATAAATCACCAGCAGGAAACTTCTTTCATGACGTCAATGGTGAGGTTGCCAAATTCTTGACGTCACTGGTGAGGTTGCCAAATAGAGAGAAACGATGAAAAAATTGAGAGGAGAAAGGTTGCGGCGGGAGCCCTCTTTTCCCCCTTTGCATGCAAGCAGAATGCACTCGTGCCTTCTTTCAAATACGCTGGCCGCTCAAGCGATGCGGACATTTGTAAAACTATGTTAATCTTTTTTTTTCTTTACTTCGCTCGTATTTTCTGAACAAGCGAAAGTTAAGCTGGCTGATTTCTCAGAGAGACAAAGCTCAATCAGCCCAAATAAAATGAAAATTTTTATTGCATGTTTTGTAGAAAAACAGACATACAGGTAGTGTAAAACTGCCAATCTACAAAATCGTCAATAGTTATAGGTTACAACTGACATACGGACATTATGTGAAAACGTTGAACCCAAAATAATAAGTCAATGCGAAACTTATCCACAATCGCGAGTAGAACATGTCATATTTGACTCATTCACGTTTGTTATAATGTCACGTCTAGTTTTCTTACAGAAATTGAGAACCAAACGAGACAGAATTTCAGGGGCACGGATAGGCTTGAAATCATCAAAAGTTTTGGGGCGAAGCTCCTTAAAGCGGCACCCGTTTGTCCCTCGTAGTAGTGCGTAACATGTCTTACGCTTTGTCCTGGAAGGTGGTGCCAGTGGGAGATTTATTCTCTGCATTGTTAACAATGAAATATTCGCCGCGTGTGCGTTCACTAAAAGCCGAATTCCCCTGTCTCTCACTCCCCATTAACAGCCATTGTCATCTACATTGAGCACTATCTGACAAGAAAGGGTTGCTACGTTATACTCGCTGGGCGTAACCTCCTTGGTTTTAGAAAGGTTTAGCAAGCGTTGAGCCGCAGTGGCATAAATACAGTGAACTAGTATATACCGTGAACTCGAGGTGGTTAAAGGTGGGAAGTAGATACGAAGCGCAAGCCGTAAGAAAGTAAGAGCCGAATTCTCCTGTCTCTCATACCCATTAGCAGCCATTGGTATGTACATTGAGCACTGTCTGGCAAGAAAGAGTTGCTACGTTATACTTGCTGGGCATAACCTCCTTGATTTTGTAAAGGTTTTGCGAGCGTTGTGCCGCAGTGCCATGAATACAGTCAACTTGTAAGGTGGGAAGTAGACACGAAGCGCAAGCAGTAAGAAAGTGTGCTGGTGCCACCTCTCGTTAAGTCCTTTGAATGTCCGCTGAATGGTGGTGCTTCTATAATGAAAAGACGCGAGATGGTGGTACTTAGAGTGTTGACTAGATTGACGAACGGACACACAGACAGATGCATGGACGGACGCGCGGATGACTGCACGGACGGTCACACAGACGGACGCATGGACGGCCGGAAGCAAGAACGAATGGACAGACAGATGCTTCACCCCACTCTCCATCACTCACGCCTTGGATGTGCTGCCATTTTTTTTTGGAGAAAGAACGTCGCTGGAAACATTGTTTCGGCAAGTTGACTTGTCTTCGTCGGGCAACAGCGTTGCCCTGACAAAGAAAAGTTCACTTGTGAAATCGTTGGCCTCATCGACATTATCTGTAATAATTCTTAGAAGCATTATCACATGTATTTTAGTGACACTATTAAATGTAGAGACTCAAAAACTTTAAAAACGCAGCTGCAAAGATTTCATGACCAGGAGGCAGGCTATAAATTCATAAAATCATTTGAAATACTCGCAAAAGTAAAAGAAATTAAAGCTATGTAGCCGATCAAACTTGAATTGAAGCCTAATAATAAACGCGTTTTCCAAGAGGAGTTTGGCTGCCATCTTCACCAATAAGTCAAGTGACACTGCATTTCTGCCAGTCCTGTCAGGCTTGCAGAGAACTGGGTTTACTCAAACGTACTCATGCAAAATTGGTACATGCTCAAATATTATGTACATATTCATTTGCTCACCTGCTGCATTTAGAAAGCGCTGAAAAACCTTCGTGCAACTATAGATCCCCGGGTTAGCACACCGCAGAGCCGCGGAAAACATGTGTTGCCCGATTAAGCCACCTTCAATGAATGCATGCATGTTGACGTGTTCGGCGTAACTCGCTGCGACTTCCGTTCTCTGCCCTCCACAACTTGCTGTCCTTATTTTCCCGTAGTTGACGCGCCAACCGAGCGAGATAACTGAGCGCGATCCAACTTATGATATCGCTGAGCGAGGGGTGAGGATGAGGGGAGGGGAGCACGAGTAACGCAAGTTAATCACTTCTGAGACTTGGCCTGATTGAACATTCACAAAATAAGAAATAACAAAAGACATACATACAAATTAGAAGTTCTTTACATGGGTATCAATTTTTTAATCATAAAAACTTGTGAAAGTCAATAAATGCAATTATTGATATCACCTCACTCCGTTCAAGCGGATCTTAGGACGCCTGGCAACCTCTATGAGCATGCATGTTCCTTGAAACCGAAACAAGCGCAGAGTTTCCGGGGCCTGGCAGCATCACACAAGTTGCAAGGTATAAGTAAAGTGGTAGCGTTACTTCCATAGAGCCCATAGATCCCGTAGTCGGTGGCTCGTTGCCACCACTGCCATCTACATGAGAAAAGGACAACCAATATAAAAAACCAAAGCAAAACATGACGTCACAACCGGAAGCGCCAGCGATGTCACACATTCGCCCTACAAGTCGCGCAATTGAATTTTTTTATTTACTGACCTGCTACGTGATTTTATTATTACGCGGTTGATTGCAGCTCAATAGTACCTAGCTAATTGCATGCGAGAGAAAAAGGAAAGAAATATACGAAAGATTGACTAAGCAAAGTTGTTTTATTAGCGAAATGAAATACCTTCAATATGCACGACAAACTTCGCAGAAGCAATTGTGAGACAACTGCTCACGAGAACAAGAGCATAATTGTTCGAAAACTCACGTTGCCCTATTGTTGAAAACTACTTCAGCGAAACAGCAGTTTAGAAAATATAGCTTTGGCCACCGTAGAGCACAGCTTAGCCTGTCGCGTTTGCTCTGACGAAAGGCGAGTGCACGCCGGCCGTGCGCCAGCTAAAGCAGTCGGCAGTCACATGAGCGGCTATCAACACTTTCTGTGAGCTAGTTGAGCTATCAAATGCACATAAAAATAAGTATACTTCTGTAGGTACGCACAAAACCACCACGAAAAAGTTAACGATGCCTCTTTGACCTAGTAATGCGCCGAACCGAAGACCATGCCGACACAAGCTCTAATAGCATATGGCTAGGATGTGCCCCCAAATTAAGTGGCATATGTTACCAGACTGCTTTCATGTGCCCGCTGTTTATAAGACCAAACGAAAACAAAAATGCGTGCTCAACCACTTACCAGAGATCAAAGCTTTATTGAAGTATTCTTTAATTTTATAGTATAGGAGAGGGAGACGAAGAAGTGTGTTTTGAATAGGAGCTGCTTCTGCTAACTCCGGCGTATTTCAGTTGTAATTTAAGTCTGTTGATCAGTTTCCGCTGCTTCCTTGGAGGGGATGGAAGTAGACCACCCCGGGCGCCTGCCGACACCAGCGGCGTCAGCGGCGACCGCCTCAAAGAAGCGGATGGGACAAGCGAGTGACAGCGACAGTGAAGATACTCATGCTTACTATCTCAGCAGTGAGGACTTCTCAGATGACGGTTTCCAACCTGTGCTGAGCCGCAAGACGAAGAGAAGGAACATGAGGACATCCTCATTCTCAACTATTCAAACTGTAAGTGAAGCGCCAAAATCGAACACTCATACCATCCTGTTTCTGCCTCCACTTCCTACCGTCAGCATGAAACGCCTTAACAGACAGTCTGTGTCGAGGTCTCTGGAAATGCTCGTGCCAAATGAGATCACGGACATAAGAGTGAACGCCAGAAAGAATATACTGGCTGTGGACGTTTTGCACGCAAGTGCCTTGGGCGTTTTGCGCAGTGTAACTGACTTGGACGGCAACCAGGTGCGCTCTCATGTTCCCTTGGGATGTGATGTAGTAACCGGCGTGATCTACGACATTGATGTCGCTATTTCCAATAAGGACTTACAACTTCTTGTCAAGTCAACAACTGATACTCCAATTGTTGATGTCACCCGGCTAGGCAAGTCTCGCTGTGTGAAGATTGCGTTTAAGAGCACATCACTCCCCTCTCATGTGAAGGTGGGGTACTTCAGACATGCTGTGCGGCCTTTCATTCCAAAGCCTCTCCAGTGCCGTAAATGCATGAAACTTGGACATGTGAGCAGCGTCTGCGAGAATTCGGTGGTATGCCACCGCTGCGCCGAGCACCATGAAGCGGACAAGTGCGTCGCAACTGTCAAGAAATGCTCTAATTGCAATGGATCCCATGAAGCCACATCGAAGGACAGCCCACGGATTCAGAAGGAAATTGCCATCTTGAAGGAGATGGTGCGCGATCACTCATATCATCGAGAAGCCGCAGCTAAAGTCAGAAGGCGTCGTTAACGTCGACGTCGGTCTTCGAGGACGCCCGCTACCTCCTCGACACGTTTGCATGATCCCTCATCAGTACCACCTCCTTTGCCTCCCAGACCACATGCAGTGGGAAACGCTGTAAAGGACAAAGCCAGTGAGCATACCCTAACTGCGACAGAGTGGCCTGCACTTCAAAGGGAAGCAGCATCAAGCGAACCGAAGGAGCTTCATACCGGCCAGTCCGCGCTCCCGGTTCGAGATCTTTCCAACCAAGACAGGCAAGTGACTGCAATCGTCCTGGTTCGAGATCTTTCCAACCAAGACAGGCAAGTGACTGCAATCGTGCAATCATTAATTGCCACAATTCGCACGCTACTGAG